ACGACGTTAAAATTATAATATACAGTTGTAGATTGTTTTGATTAACATTTTTGCTTCTGTAATGTCTAACAAAATATTGACTGTTTTAGAGTTATCGAAAAAAGACTTTTGGCCCCTATTGGCCCTTAATTTGATGAGTCAGCACTTTTTTCATGAAATGATAATAAAGATCTTATCATTCTGCACAAATTCTCTTCATAATGTCTTAACAAAATAATGATACTTTAAAAGATATGATGCAAAAGGTCTTAAAAATCAATCAAGATTCGTGTCCTAAATTTTTACCCCTACCAAGCTTCCACACTAGGCAATTCCATGAAATGTCCTGACCATGTTGCAACATGGCAATATGTCCTCTATCATCACTAAAAATTTCAGCGCTCTAGCTCAAGCCGTTTTTGAGTTCCATCACAGACAAGGAGGTCATCAAAATTCCGATCAAAGGGCAATAACTTCCGACCGGAAGTGAATTTCAAAAAAATGAAAAAAACGTATGAGGTTTAGATAAAGATACACCTTCTCCGAAAATTTCAAGTAAATCGGTTGAGCCATCTCCGAGATATCTTCTGCACAAAAATTGTAAAGAGAAAAAAAAAATAAAAAAAGTGAAAAAGAAACAATAGAATAATAGAAGGGTCTTCCGTTGGAGACGGAAGACCCTAATAATCTTTACCAACAGAATCAGTAGAAGGTCTTCCGTTGGAAACGGAAGACCTTAAAAACTTTGGAAATGTATCTGGGTTGACTCTTAATATTAGCAAAACTGAATGCATGTTACTAGGCAATCTGAAGGATACAGATCATAACATATATGGGATAAAGGTTAACAAAGACTGTATTAAGGTTTTAGGAATTCACGTTGGTCATGATATAGAGAAATGTATAGAAAAAAACTTGGGAAACAGAATTAAAGAGCTCGAAAGACTTTTCGAATCATGGAAAAAAAAGAAAATTTACTATATTTGGAAAAACTTGCATTATTAATAACCTTGCTGTATCCAAACTAATTTACAACCTCTCACTCTTGCCATGCCCTAGTGCTGACATCATGAAAAATATAAATAAAATTATCTTTAACTTTAATTGGAATAAGAGAGACAGAATAAAACGAAAAACTTTAATAGGAGACATAGAGCAAGGTGGTATAGGAGTTGTGGATATAGAGTCTAAAGCGAAAGCAATTAAATGTGCTTGGATTTCCAAGCTGATATCTAACGAAAACAACAATATTAAAATCTTTTTAGAAAACTTTAATTTAAGAAAACAAGATATTATCTATATGTTACACACCAATGAATTAGCAATAAACAATCACAATATACTTAAGCGTCTTCCGATATTTTATAGAGAAATTTTTAAAGCTTTTTAATGAATCTAAGAAGTAAATAGAAATAAGTAAAATGACTACACCAGACTTTTTGAAACAATCTATATGGGGAAACAAGATTTTTAATTATAAAAACAAGGTAATTTTCTTCGAAAACTGGTATGACGCTGGAATTTTATATGTAAAGGATATTGTGGATGAAATGGTATAAGGCCACTTGAATACTTTTCAAATTTACTTGTTAAAAAAAATAATTTATATTGTGAATATTTGACATTAAAGAATATTTCTTCAGAAATACATGAAGCAGTTTGATTTCAGCCTATCAAAATATACAAATATCAGAAATACGTACTATTTCCTTTTTAATGATAATCAATATCACTGCATCAAAGACAATAAATGCAAGTTCTACTATGAAATTTTTAAAAACAAAAAATTTGTAAAGCCATGCTTCATCAATAAATACAAAAAAGAATTCGGTATCCAAAGTCAATATTTTTCTAAAATATATTTTTCCAAAATTGTCAAAGTCTTTGACAAAAAAATTTCTGATTTTAACCACAGAATTCTTAATAATCTTCTTAATAATAGGAGTTACTTAAGCAAATGGAATGACATATCTAATCTGTGTCCATATTGTAAGGGATGTGTTGAAACAAACAAACACTTATTATACGAATGTCAAAATGTTCAAAGAATATGGAATACTGTCAGTGAAATTTTAAAATTTAATGTATCATGGAAACATATAGTTGTAGGATTCTACAATGAAGTTAACGAAAATACATTATTATTAAATAATCTTATATCATTTGTAGCCCTTAGAATCTATAAATACAAAATGATGTGTAAAGAGAATTTTTTAACATGACAAAGAATTGCTGATGGTGATTCAGCTGAACATGTTAAAGTGCATGTTGATACACACTCTTTTTATTGCGGACTTATATATGCATGGGTTATCTTCACTTTTAAAAAATAAAATAAGTCTTTAAATCATTTAAATGCAACCCCCGAAATATTTTATTTTTCTATACATTACATGATATTAGTAAAATTCGTAATTTTGTCACCTTTACCCCCCCCCTTCCTCCCTCTACCCCTTTTTTCCACGTAAAACAACGTTGCGTGTTGAGATAAAAATAAAGCATGGCGAGAAAATTATTTCATAATGTAGGAATTATTTATTTTTTAGAAACTAATACAGTATCACAATCGTTTGTTGGTGTTATGTAAACCCATTGCGACATATAAAATACGTAGTTGGATAGAATAAATCCAAATTTTGTGTTTTGACATGCCCCCTTTTCACTGCAATAAAGGCTACCTCCAATTTTCTTTTCATTTTTTATAAGAAGAATGAAAATTGCATGATATATGTGAAAAACAAAGAATTTCATCATGTATTTTTTTAATTTGTAAATTTTTTTGTTTACTGAAGAGTTTGTGTATAAAAACACGACAAATGGTCCATATCTTGACAGTGCCCCCATTTGACTACAATAAAGGCAAGGTAACAAAATTTGATTCTAATTTTTCTAAGCATAAAACATACAAATATATTTCCAAGAATTAAATTTTTTTATCATTCCGTTTTCGTAATTTTCAACTAGATCGGGCCTCGTTAAATGCAAAGACTAACCCTAATCTTTTGGATATAGGTGTTACACTAACACTCGCAAAATGTGTAACAACCATAAGCTAGGTATCTTGGATGGGTGCAGGACTAATACAGATCAGTCTAATAGTGTGGGATGACTAACCATTAAATCCCTTGGGGGAGTTCGAAGAAATACGTTGGTGTTCAAGAACTAACCCAATCAGTCGAATGATGTACAAGGACTAACATTAATAGCTCTGGTGGCCGAAAACAATAAGCAAAATCAGTAAAATTATAAGCGGAACAAATACTAAATCAGTGGATTTTGAATGCAGGACAACGTCATGACGTCGGACTATTGTGACGTCATAAACGTTGATTGTTCCTTCGCACCATCGGACTTTGGCGTGTCAGACCATCGCATTTTAGCGTCGCGTGTCTCATAGGAAACGAGCCATCGGACTTTGGCGTGACCATCGGACTTTGGGGGCTTCGGCGAGGCCATCGGACTTTGGCATCACCATCGCACTTTAGAGTCTTACATTTATTTAAATGTGTTAAATCTACATACACAAATTTTTCTTGTCAACAGTCACCGTCTCATTCTCTTTTAGTGACTTGGTTACAGATTTGGCAAATCCGTCCACAGATGAGATGATCTTACTTTTCAACTACAATCCAAAACGTTTATCAGTGAAATATTACAATTATCAATAGGATGTCATTTTCCGTAATATTTAACGAAAGAAGGATAGAACCAAACGATAATAATAATTAGAATAAATTTACTTACTTTCTTTTCTTCACTTGCTTGATTTACTTTGGTTTTATTCGCATTTAAAAGTTGACTGACAACACCAGCAAATTTCTGCATCATCATAATAAAAAATATATATAAATTCAGAATAAATCAAAACATGTTAAGATCTATTTTTTACGTTTTGATAATTCGTCTATATGTTTAAAATATTCTATTAAGGACAATGACGATCCCTGGAAGGATTTCAGATAATCGGGTTTAAAAAAATTAATATATATAAATGGTACATTATTTATATTCCAAGAAAATTAATATTACTTTCTTTTCTTTCTTCCAAAACGCGTCAGCCAGAACTGATTGACGCCTTTAGTTCATTTAATATCTGTCCTCACTCATGTAATTTAAGATTTTTTTAAGAATGCAAAAGAAGAATACAGCAATGAACAGGTCACTGTAGCTTCGTAATTGGGAGGCCCCGGATGGATTCTCGTTCGCGGCGCCGAGCCATACCTAAGACGTGGGCGGTGACTGTTCCTTCACCAAGAGTTCGGCACTAAAAGTGAAAGTCTCGGGTCTGTCGAATATGACCTTGAAAACGTAGGTCCCGTGTCTCGGTAGGCGTTGGCATGATAAAGAACCCTCACTGCTCATTTGCCCTGAGTGCTGAGTATAGGTTTAAATTTGAAGCCCTTCACCTGCATACAGTGAAAATTTTCAATAAGGACGTTAAAAAATATATAATCAATCTATCAACATACAGCAGTGATATAATATGTGTCAGTCAATCAGGTAACGTCAAGTGACGCATCGGTTTGTGTTTTTGTGTGTTTATATCGACAGACGAGCCAACATTACAAAGTTTGTATATTTTTTGTGTTATTTTTCTGTTGAAATTATTTTATGAGGTTTTAGTGAACATTTACATGTAGTGTCGCAATTGTCGTAATGGCATCCTCTCTGGTTAACAGCAAATAAAAGACGAAAGAAGTGAGGAATATGTTTTTATTTTTGATCTTCCCCTAAATATTGCATAAACAACTGAATAAAAGATCAATTCAATAATTTATTCAACAAATAAATCCTCTAATAATTCGAAAAAAGGCCGCCTATAACAACGAAGATATATCTGAGATTTTTCTCAAATCTCAGCTCATGTTCGACCAATCTCAGAAATGTTGGTGGCACGGTGTGGAAAAACTCAGGTGAGACAGAAATCTGAGATTTGAGCTGAGATTTTTTATAGGTTTGTGGCCCCGAAGCCTGAGTCCTGGTTTGTTAGTCCCATTCATATTTAACGTACCTTGTATATTTACTTTTTCCAACGGCAAAGTATACTGGTAATATACGCTTCACCATATATTTTCCCCAACCTTCTTTTCCCCTTAATCATATATTGTATATAACGAATATATGTTATTAACATTTACCCCATGTACCAATAGTTTGGTCTGGGTTAAACAGATTGAAGTAGACTGAGCTGAACAAATACAAATTGTCTTTCAGAATAAACTACATCTGCATTGAATATTATCAAGTTTTTTTTTCTATTTTTAGTGGCCATATTCTACAAATGCCAACAGGCGCTTACTTTGAAAAAATAAGGTATAGTTTCTTTCTACACAATCTTCAACTTTTCAATTTTGCGATTGCTTGATTTTTTATTGGAATTAGAATTAATGTAATATAAAATTCTATATTTCCTGGTATAAAACAAATTAGTTTTAAAAATCTTTAAGTGTTATTAAAATCTTACAATCTAACATGTAATAATAAGGTAACTATACTTACATCTGTCACTTCCTCTGCAGCTTTCTTATTCTCAAATGTTATACTTTTATTGGATATTGCAGATATAATGCTGACGCTCTGTTTTATGTTAACATGTGCCACGTTATTGTTATCATCTGTCGAGTTGACGACATCAAAGATCGCAGTAAGTGATTGTTTTACAGTGGATTCAGAAATATTTTTATTCCCTCCTATTGCTTTTTCAAATTTGTCTAGCTTCTCTGATGTGCAGTTGTTTGTATTGATGGCGCCCCATACTCCATTTTCTTTGCATTTTCTCTCCTGTATACCTTAAAATTTTAAAACATAATCAGTATAACATACCCTTAGAACATCTCATATCTTTTGTATATAAGTGAAGCTTTAAATAGCTGCATTCTGACCATTATATCCTATAGGACAAGAAATGGATGCTTCTTGGCCCGCTGGACTTGAGGACCAGTCTTCAATCTCTTTACACCAAACCTTTCCTACAAATGTTTCATTTGAAATTAAAAACTACTTGTATAATATAAAGAAAGCTTAGTTAATTTTTACAAGAAAAAATATATTTGGAGTTATAACTACTCATCCATGTCCTTCTCATATAAATATAAATAATTATTGCTCATGTTGGCCCTAATATTTTTAAAAGTTGTACATGTATTCTCGAAACATTTTTATTTTCCTGAAAAAGAAATACCTACCCTTTTGAACCATGGTTACATCAGACGATTTTGAATATCCAGGTAAACAACTGTTTATTCCACATTGAATTACAACATTGTCCGTCACAATGAATGAAAAGGACTGGTTAAAATCTTCACTTTTTTCTGCTAATGATCACAAGAAAATAAGTTTGTACTTTTATGTATATTTGGTAATCAATGTTTAAGAATATTTGCAAAACATTTAGATAGCAGTGAAATATGACATACTTGCAATAATTTTACTTCCATTGCCAAAGCACCATGTCAAAGATTCGTTTGATTTGTGGTACCATTTATCGATGTTTCTAACAAAGCAGTGAATTTGAACTCTTTTGTCGGTTTGAACAGATACTGCGATAGGTCTCATGACAAGATATGGTTTTTCTTTCATTTCTAATTCTTCTTTTGCTGATCCTTTTCCGATGAAATCGAATTGATTCAAACTTACACTGCAAGTGTATGTTCCTAAAAAATAAAAAAAAATTCTATTATCAGTCTTACAAAAAAATTCTATTATCAGTTTTACAAAAAAGTCTATTATCAGTCTTACAATATATATCAGTAAATAATAAAGAACAAACAATACGTTAGTTTTTTACCTGCTAAAACTGCTCAAAAGATTAAAGGTTCAGTGTGGTTGAAATTCATAAATTTCCATTTCTATTAAATTTTGTTAACTCTGTCATATAGCTTTTTGAAGGCTTGGTAAGTTAATTTCTTGATAATTCAACCAGAATGTAAATTTTGCGAAGCAAAAGTTCAGGAGCTAGTGAGGCCTAATATGCATGTACCTGTAAGTCTCGTGCGTCTATCTTTGACAATAACGTCAAAAGGCGGGGGCTATTCAAATCTACAAGAGGGGGGGGGGAGGGGGTCCTGTATTTTTTTAAATCTATAAGGCAACAATTTTAAAATTAAAATATACAATTTCATTTCACAATGAAACGTAAATATAAGGAATCATTGTCTATTATTCAGCCTTTATGTAAATTACCCCACGCTTCCAAATATCGTTGATGCCCTGGCATATCCAACAAACTAGACATTGATTCCTAAAATTAAGCACTAAACATGACCAAGAGACCAGTGATCACAAATCACCACAACAGACATATTTGACATAACATACCTCGCAGTTGTCCGGATTCATAATAAAGTAAAAGAAATCAATATAAATATTAGGATTCAAAACTCTTAGTGAATAGTGGTTAAGTCGTTTAACTTGGGTGGTAGATTTATGGTTTCCATCTATTTTTATTACTTTTTATTATACCTCTACTGATTTTTCCCTATATAAAACTAAGTGATTAGATCTGAACAATTCCCTAGAAATCGCTGTGAATCGGCTAATTGTTGTGCGTTAGTTTATTTAGCTAGTCATGTTAATCGCAGTTATGCGTAATCCTTTACTTTTTACTTTAAAACCCGAATTGTTCTTCTCCAAAAACTTTTAGCCGTTTACAGGCGAAGGAGGACTTGAACATGGCGAAGCGGTTTGATACATTAGACGAGAATGAACTGGATAATCTGCTCGAATCCAGAGATAGTCATAACATCAAGAAACTAATAAAGGCATCGCTGTCTGTCTTAGAAAACTATGCACGTGAAAAAGACCTGGATTTATCGGAAATTGAGAGACAACCTACGAGTGAAATGAATTGTTTGCTGCAAAAATTCTATGCAGAGATGAAAAAAAAGTTGATGGAGAGAAATACGCGAAGTCTATGATTAGTCTACGATACGGTTTAGAAAAAAACATTTTTTGAAGGTGAGAAAAGAAGATATCATAAATGATGATAGTTTTAAAACGGCTAACGAAATGTTTGAAGCTGTGCTGGTAAATCTAGAAAAGTCTGGTGTTGGTGAACCAAAATCTAAGGAACCTCTCACACAAGAGGATATGAATAAACTATACGAGACTGTTTTTAACATATGAAGGGAATATGTAACAGTCAAGGAACGTCAAACAAAAAATCACAGAGGGGATGATACGTAGGATATGTCAAGTAAACAGGGCAGGATGTACGGTACACCTGGTGAGTAAAACACATTCTTATGTTTATGTTTTTATAAAGGGGGAGGGGTCCATAAAATTTTGATAAAATTCAATACCTATTGAAATAATTCCTAGGTATTGTCATGCATTAAAAGGTTTTTAATCACCATTAGTTGACAATAATCTGTCAATTGACCTTACCCACGTGTCTGTTATAAAACAGAAACATCTAGTAAACCAGCATGTTATGTCATTCAATTGTTCTCTGTAAGCGACCACGTGCGAAATAATTACCGTAGCCATAAAAGGAAGATTCCTTTGACATGGATATCCATCTGTTATACTAAGACCCGAATATTCAATTCATCTTTATTCATAATAGAAAATATGGTAAAAAACCAGGCCAAAATTTGCTATCACAGGGTCTTAAAATTCATTAAAAAATCTTCATGATTGTAAATTTAATATAAATCATCGTAGAAAAAGGGGCCACAAACCATATTTTTGAAACATGATCCTTTATTCATAATCCTATTACTATATTTAAAAACAAAATTGTCATATTTTTGGAAAAGGAGACTGAAAATAACTAAAGTTTTAAAAAATTAAACTTGCCTTAACAGAAAAATATTACAGACTTATATTACAAACTTAAGTTGACTATCATAGATTAGCATAGTTAACTACATGTATAATACAGTAGTAAAACTTTGGAACTTTGATTTACTATGGTAAAACCTTTGGTTTGATTTACTGTAGTGAAAACTTTGGAACTTTGATTTACTGAAGTTAACTTTAGTAAACTTATGGTTAACTATGGTTAACTTTATAGTGTTTTTGCTGGTGGTGATCTCGTCTAATTTAATGAATCAAATTTAAGAAAATCAAATTAAAGCAATAATAATTCTTTAGAAAAAGACATACTAGTACTTAGTAATTAGGGCAAGATTTATTTTACGACTTCTGTATAAAACCATTTGGTTTTAAAACACTACTTTCCAGGCAAAATTATTTCATTTTAAAAATTTAAAAACTGCAACTTCATTTTTCTCTAATCACATAAAGTTCACAATATTCTAATCTAATATCTTTCTTGTAGTGGTGGGGATAGATTGTATACAAAATGTTATAATAAGTACTAGTGTTTGATAAAATTATAGATTACCAAGAATCAATACCGTAATATGATAGAATATAATGAGATTAAATGAAACATCGCAAAGAAAATACAAGTGGACCTTGACGTGCATATTGTAATTTAATATTTTGTGACGTATGAATGTACATGTATATTTCAATTTAATGAACAATCCTGAATACTGTTAAGTGTTAACCAGATATTTTCTCATTATCTTTAATTCGCGATTTGCTAGTTAGACTGTACAAATACGTACAGGGCGAAATAATGGTTCACGTAGCAAAACTTGTGGGTATTTCTCGCACGTGTACAAAACGTATACATAAGTACGGTATTCAATATTATAAAATAATACTGTTTTGAGGTAAATACGATGATTTAGACACCTGAGAAATACAATATTCACTGAGCCCGAAGGGCGAAGTGAATATTGTACTTTGAAGGTGGCTAAATCATCGTTTTGACCTAAAAAAAAAAAACCCACAGAAATAACTGTTTTCTTATATGATTAATTGATAGCAAATTCCAGCAAGACTGTTTTTTGTTTTAATTGAAAGTTTTACCGAGAAATTAAAAAAAAACACATTGTTACAGGAAATACGGAACAGAAATAATTCCTTATATTGACCTGCAATAATTCCTTGTATTGACCTGGAAGGTCATGTGATTCATTATATTGACCTGCAATAATTCCTTGTATTGACCAGGAAGATCATGTGCAGGTCAATATAACGTAGTATTTTTCTAACATTGTTGGATCTCAGCCAATCAATCACAGATGGGGAAATTATTCCATCATATAATTAAATATAATTAAATTGATTGTTTTAATTATTTTATGAAGACATTAAATTACTAATAAAGATTTTTTTTATTTATTTAAAAACAATCAATGCTTTCATAGAAGTTCATGATGACGAATGGCACTAAGCAATTAAAAAACAAATTTAAACTAGTGCTAATTGTAACGGGGACCGTTACAGATGTTCCCCAAACGCTCCCCAACTACCTTTTGGTGCCATATTCCCTGTAAGATTCATTAAATAGGATAAAATCTATGCATTTGAGACTTTAACAACGCCAAGTTCATTCAAATTTTAGCATTGCATGCATGCGCATGTGAATGCATGTGCGTAATGACCATATCATCTTGTCTACACAATCTATATATTTTTTATATACTAAATATTAAAGTATTTAATCCAAAAGTATTAAAAAATTCGCTCATTCAAGTGTATTTTTGATTTATCTCATTTCATGTGCATGCATGTGCATACATGAGCATGGTGACCATATCTTCTTGTAGAAGTCCTTTACATCTATCTATGTTCTAAATACCAACCCGTTTGGTTGAAAACCAAGGGATAAATTGCTGTTTAAAGTTTCAGCCAATCAGATTACAGCGCACGTACACGCACATGTATGCATGTGCATGGTGACCATACCGTCTTGTAGAAGTTCATTATGTCTATCTATGTTTCAAATTCCATCCTGTTTGGTTGAAAACCAAGGGAGTTATAGCTATTTAAAGTTTAAGCCAATCAGATTGCAGCACACGTGCATGCACGTGTTTTCATGATAATTGCTATATATCATGTTGTAGGATATCCTAATGCATGGCTATGTTCAAAATTTCA